GACGCAAATCAATCACATTGCGATAAGTTGCTGATGGAGAGGCTGCATCAAGAATTGTCGCTCGATTTGGAGCATATGTGTGGACACCGATCATGCACTCGGATGTGCTGACATGCGGATGCGTTTTGGCGGACGCCCACGACGACGCTGTGAGCGCATTGACACCAGCCAACTGACAAAGCCAGCTGTTCTGAATGTGTATCGAATTACGCTGACATGCGCGTTGAGTAAGCGCTCACTGGAGACAATTGATGGCCACTGGTCACATGTTTGACAGACCTTACTAGCAGCGGGCAAATCCTCATGTGGTATGTCTAAAAGCCCATATGGACATCGGGTCTCTTCTCGGTCTCTGAAACTTATAGATGCTCGAAGGCATATTCCGGCTGGAAACGAGCACAATGAAACTCGCAAAGAGCTCCGGGCAAAACTCCGTGCTAGCCTGAAGAGAGACCGCGAATCTTGGTGGCCTCATCGTGCGTCAGAGATGGAAGTGGCCGCTGCCCTTGGCAACCATCGTAAGTTATTCCGTCTGATACGGGAAACGGGCAGCAGGAGACCTGGTGTTAATGAAACTATACGTGATGAGAGTGGACAGCCTATCCACAATTTGTCAAAACGTTTGGAGCGTTGGGCTGAGCATTTTGGAAAGCAATTTAATCGGCTAGAATTGTTCGATTCTTCGCCGGCCAGTGATCGCCTTGCTCCGTGGGCTGTCCCTTCGGATCCACCCTCTCGCTCAGAAGTCGAACTTGAGATCGGGTTGTTGAAGTTGAACAAAGCCGCGGGACCAGATGATCTTCCTCCAGCTCTCTTCAAATTCGGATGCTCTGCTCTTGTTGATGCTTTACATGAATTACTAACGAAACTGTGAAAGCAGGAGATTGTCCCAACAGACTGGAGCCGCTCCGTTATTGATCCCATCTTCAAAGGAGGCTCGCTTTCGGTATGTGGCAACCATGGAGGAATCAGTCTCATCTCCATCGCTTCCAAATTACTCGCCTCCATAATCCTTCACAGACTGACTGGCACTCGTGAAAGCCAGATTCGTGAGGAACAAGCCGGGTTTCGTCTGGGTCGTGGCTGCATCGACTACATCTTCACCTTGCGTCAGTTGTTGGAGCACCGTCACACATATTGGCGGCCCACCGTATTCGTGTTCCTCGACATCAAAGGTGCCTTCGATTCCGTTGATCGATGCGCCCTTTGGAATTGTCTACTCAGAAAAGGTGTGCCCGAGAAATATGTAAACGTCATCCGAGCATTATACGCGCGTAGCACGGGCAGAGTGGGGGCTTACGGCAAGCTGTCGCCACCCTACAATATCTCCAGCGGTGTGAGACAAGGATGCCCGCTGTCACCTTTCCTCTTCAACTTCGTTATTGACGAAGTCATGGAGATTGAATTTACAGGACATGACTTGGAAGGTGTAGAGCTACTCCCAGAAGAACGACTTCTTGACTTGGAGTATGCAGACGACATTGCCCTCATCTGTGACAGCTCGCAGACGTGCCAAGCCGCGCTGGACAGATTAGCACTGGATGTCAGCCGCTTCGGGCTTTGCCTCGCACCACCGAAATGCAAGGCTTTCCTCCAAGATTGGCAGGGATCGCCTCCTGCGCTGACCTTTGGTGAGGATCAGCTAGGACTCGCTCAGAAATTCAACTACCTGGGAAGTTGTAGCAGCGCCCATGGGATCGAAGACAACATTACGAAGCGTATAGCGAAAGCTCGAAGTGCTTTTGCTAACCTTCGCCACTTATGGCGGCGGCGCGACATTACCCTCGCCCTGAAGATAGAGTGTATAATACAGCGGTTCGTTCGACTTTATTGTACGGTTGCGAAACGTGGCACCTAAGATCGGCAAACATGAAGAGGCGAGTTACGTTCGACCATCGGTGCCTTCGTTGTTTGGCTCACCTCTGGTGGGAACACCGCGTGAGTAACGAGCGTGTTCGACGCCTTGTTTATGGCACAGGAAAAGGAACTGAACCGCTCAGCATCGTCATTTCACGCGCCAGGCTCCGATGGCTGGACCACATGTTGCGCATGCCAGCCCATCGACTTCCACGACGTGCGTTGTTTGCTCACCGGGATGTGGATGGAAGAAGAGGAGGGGTGGCCAAGCGATGACTTGGTCCAGAGGAATGAAGGCCCTCACTTCGGAGCTGGCCTCGGTTGGAGCGTCACGGCTCTCTGTTTGGGGTCCAAAAGACGATGAACACGTTTGGCTGGATACACTTGCTGACATAGCAAGGAGCCGACTTCAGTGACGTTCCTGTTGTGAGTTTCTTTGTCTCTCCCCATCCCTTTTAGCCTCCCCCTCCACCTACCATCTCATTTCTTAGCGTAAAACAACATTTTTTTTTCTTTTTGCCTAGTAGCCGGCTGATAGCTTACCGGAACGATGCCAATCCGTTGCTGGTAGTTCAGGTGGCATGCAACTTTTGTATTTATTTCCTTTTCATTTATGTATTGCGGCACAGTAGCTGAGGCGTTTCCCACCTCTAGCTGACGTGTATAATTATGATGATGATGGGAACACGCGATGCCAATTTGTTGTATTCCGAAACAGCAGCAGACCAGAGCAGCATCGGAACGTATGTATGGAGCAATCTGTCCGCACAAACGCTCAGTACAAGTGAATCGATGGAGATTCGAATTGTAACCAATCAAATGCAAGATCACATGATAGGTCAAAGCGTGATAACTAGAAGTGTGAGTAGGATAAGCGAATCCAGGGCCAAAAACAAAGCAAAGTATTTGAACACGACAAATCCTAATTGCCTCTTACCTATTCCCAATGTGCAAAGCAGCATTTATCGGCCGAGGAATGTCGTCATAAATAGAGTATCTGCCGCCAACAGCTAGCGCAGCTGCAACATCACGTTTTCCCAAGAAACCCGTGAAGGTCGTCCAGTCTTCAGACGAGGATGATTAGCTAAACACGATTTGGAACGCAACGTTCAGCATCTGCAGTATTCACCCACCCTACGCTGTGCAATTGGAAATAGAAGGTCCGTTGGTTGAAATGCAACTTGATACCAGTGCCTCAGTTACCATAATCAGTGCCGCATCTGATAAAAGATTACTCATGATATCTCCCTGTAACTTAAGTTTGCTGACGTATATCGGGCAGCTGACACCCGTTCATATTAATTATCATGAGGCGAAGCAGACCTTACAGCCATATGTTCTGGCGAATGATTGTGCAAACTTACTCGGGCGCGACTGGATTAAACGCCTTCCGGCTACACTAGAGATAGTGAAGCAATCGCACACCAACTACTCAACAATGCAATGGATGGGATTCAGTTTACAATGGAGTTAGAGGCAGAAAACGTGCTCCCATTCTTGGATGTGTTGGTGACCAGAACAAAGGATGGTGAATTTCAAACATCCGTTCACAGGAAAGGCATACCTACGGACCAAATTTTGAACTTCTATAGCAACCACCCAAAGTGCCACAAAGTAAGTTGCGTGTGGACACTATTTCGCAGGATTGAAACACACTGCAGTACAGCGGAAGCCAAACGGGAAGAAGAGAAACACCTATTCATTTTGTTCAAGCGCAGTGCATACCCACGCAGCTTCATCCGCAGACGTCTAAACCACAAACCTATGAACACCGCTACCAAATGCAAGCAAGAGGGCCGTTTGCCGTATATGAAGTACATATCTGAAATGACTGCCAGATTGCTCAAATAACGTAGCATCGTGGTCGCTCATAAGCCAAACGCTATTTTGAGTAGAATACTGTCAAACCCAAAGGACATTCAGAATGCACAAGAATGAACAAACGTCGTTGTAATGATTGTGAAATGAACTATGTGGGACAGACAGGAAGGAAACTATCCACAAGAATACAAGAACATCAGAGGGCTTGTAGAAAACATTATGCATCGTCTCTTGTCTCGGCGCATGTGGTTGAGGAGGGACATAGCTTCAATTGGCACAAAACGGTGATTTTATCTCAAACAACAACACAGAAAGGAAGAGAATTCCTAGAAGCATGGTACTGCTCTAATAATTCGATAAACATGCGCATCGACATCGACCCCGTGTACCATCAGCTCAGAAAGAAAGATCTCCGGCGAATAGAAAGACATTGTTCAGCCGCGGAAGCAAATGGACAGAGATCACGTGGCACAACTCGAAATTGCCACCTTCAAAAGTCACCTGCCCGTGGATGACGGACTGACGATTCCATAAGCAGGATTATACACTGCCTATCACCGCACTGAAGATGCCACCTCCCATGGTGGTGAAACGTATGCAATCCCTTTATCAAGCTCGGAAAAAAGATCAACTGGTGAGCAACCAAGCCAGGCTACCAGTGTTCCAAATTATTTCAGGTTCATATTCATTAACCAGAGCTTGGAGGATGTGCTCATCACCTTTTCTGACACTTTTGAGGATAAACTGGAAAAATTGAACGGATAGCAGGTTACTATCAAATATCGGCCTGGAACTCAGCCCCGCTTTTTCAGGTTACGTGCCTGCGCTTATTCTAGGATCAAAGGTGGAATGCGAGTTGAAGAGATAGCAATCAGCAGAAACAAACGAGCCAGTCCGATACAGTGATGGGAGCTCCGATAGTTCCAGTCCTGAACTCGAATGGTTCCCTACGTAATTGTACGGAAACTAACTGTTAATCGTTGTTTAATGCTGTATAAGTATCTCTTACCTCAGATAGTCCTCATGCTCCCAGACCAGTTTTCCGTGTTTGTATTACATATCAGATGTGAGGGTCCCGGTCCGTGCCATACTGATCGAGCTTTTTAGCTACAATATTGTGGAAAACAGTGCTTTAATAAACACTTGCAACTGAATTTGACTATTGTCATATTTCCTCTGATTCAAGCTATCTTGGATCGGTGTGATGCAAACCACTAAGAACGCGGTGCGGCTGAGCTTACTAATAAAATTCATCGACGGACGTAACAGCCTGCATCAAAGATTTTGCTAGTGTAAATCAGTCGGACTTCCCAATATTTGCTTTGAAATTTTGAAAAAGCTCTTGCTTGAAATTTCTACTTTCAAATTTGGCTTGGAAGCGTGATCTAGAGTGACTGAGTGGGAAATCTTTACTCTGCTCCATCAAATATTGATCCAAGATATCTTGGATCGGTCAACAAGACCTATCGCTGTCATCAAGACCTGAAGTGGAGTGGAATCCGCTGTGAGTCCGTTCCGGTTTTTTTCTCTGTTTACACCCGTATCTGCTGTTCTGATTGCATTAGGTCATTATCGCTTGCCGTTTTGCTTGTACATAACCGTTTATAGTACCTCGTGTGTTTACTGTGTTTACTGTATTCACTCTAATCACCATCGGATCAACGTCCCGATGCCAACAGTTGCACGTAACAGTACATGCTACGTTTGTCACTCCGAGTCGCCACCACATGTTCGCTGTCTTTGTTGCAAGCGACAGTACCACGGGCGCTGTGCTAAACTCACACAGCCGGAGGTGGACTTCTACACTTCACATACCAAAGCTAAGTGGGTTTGCAATGACTGCGCAGAGTTACTTCACAGAGGCTTCAAAAACAGCCCTATTGGCTCTCTAGATGTGGCAGCCTTTAGAAACTTTTGCAGGGATTTGCAAGTCTCGACGAAGTCCACATCTAAAGGCGTCGACACTTGTGACTTGCCTTCTGGCGTTTTAGTAGCAAACGTAGGCGTTGATACTCGTGACTTGGCATCAGTCGACATCTCAGTTACATCTTCACCACAACCTCAAGGCTTCGACTGTGTTTGCCCAAGCAACCCTCTGCCTGCAGGAGCAGTCTCCGGTGAACAGGAGCTGGACGACACCATACCTATGATCCTTGGCTCATCTCCTCCACGCGACCCGCATCCGTTTCTGATTACAGATGGGAGCAACACCCGAGAACTAACGGATGACTCGCCAGCAAGTGAGCAGACCACAGGAACCAGTGTCGAAATCCCACGGTGCAAATGTCGCAACCCCCCCCCCAAACAATCGAGGGACAAACACCGTGCTAAAAACTGCGCCAAGCACACTCAGTGCGCCATGCAATCGCAGGAGAACCCAGGTCCCCAGTTCACACATGTTACACAGCCGAGGCCCTCACAATGCAGCCAAGGCACCAATACGCCTCGGAGCAGTGGCTTGCCAGAATTCAACCGCAAAACTTTGATACTGTTCAATGTGGACGAGAGCGACCACCCGTCACTATCCCACAGAGCCAGTGCCGATCTATCCCAATGGCAATCCTTGCGGCAACTCCTTGGACTGCCGCCTACCTCCTCGCCCTCTCTCTGCCGTCTACGCGCACCCCGCTCACCAGGTGACAAACGCCCAAGGCCGTTACGCGTCACTCTGGAAAGTGCTGATGACGTCGAGGAAACGCTCTTGGCATCGGCTTGCTTGAATAAACTGAACACAAAGATCCGCGCCCAGCCAGACTTTCCCTGGGTTGTGAGGGAGGCAAGAAGAGAGGCGCGTATCAACAGCACGTGCGCCAACCACGATAGAGCTTGCAGTATAATTATACACGGAGTCCCAGAACTCCACACTGCCGACCCGGTTGAATCATCCCGCCACGATGTTCAGCAGTGGTGCTATATTCGGTCGCAGCTTAACCTATCAGTGGACAACTGTGGGGCGTGGTCTGTTCACCGGCTGCCGAGGCCAGCTCACCTCTCGCAGATACAGGCGCCTAAACTGCTCAGGGTCATTCTTTTCACTCCTGAGATGCGCCAGACTGTACTACAACGGTGGTACGAGCTACGTGGAAACTTCCCGTACGAAGTCAGGATGCATCCAGACAAACCGCGGGAGGAGCGCAGGCAAATTCAGGGACGTAATTCCACGCCATTCAGCCGAGCCACGCCATCACTACCTATTACGCGACTTGTGGATATACCAAAAAACGAGTAGGCGCCGGCCCCTGTGGGGTCGGCGTAAACCACACTGGAACTACCCTACCATCTATGCCTTCAAGCCACTGCCCGCCAGCAGTTCATGTTAGCACGTGGAACTGCTTGTACACCAACGCTTTATCGCTACGGAACAAGGTGTCCGAAATCTCTTCCCTTGCGCTGGACACGCAAGCTAAAGTTATATGTATAACCGAAACCTGGTTCTGCCCAGACGTTGTGGACGCCGAGGTAGCTATCCCGGGATACGTGCTCTTTCGAAACGATCGTGAAAGCGGCAAAGGCGGAGGCGTAGCTGTGTATGTATCAGACCGCCTCACATGCGTCCCTCTCAAATCTCCGGAACTACTATCTCTTCCCGAATCCCTCTGGATTCGCGTCCGCGGCTCTGGTTCCACCAGTCTCACCCTTGGAGTGGTTTATCGCCCTCCCTCAGCTGCGCCAGAATGGCTGCAGTGCTGGAACGCCGCCCTCCGAGCAGCTGCTTCAGATTTGGGTGCCCCCTACTCGTCGCAGGTGACTTTAATTTCCCGGAGATAGACTTTACCTCTGGCCAAGCTCGCAGTCAGCACAGCCTTGAGTTTCTTGCCAGTGTTCTAGAACATGGCCTAACCGAACACGTACAGCAGTACACTCGGTGGCGAGACGGTCAAAACCCGTCGAAACTCGACTTGCTGCTCACCAACGAGCCACATCTAATTGACAACGTTAATTTGAGCGCCCCAGTTGGTGCAAGTGATCATGCAGTTATCAGTTTTCGTGTGGTGGCGAACGTCACGCTCAACGCTAAAGCACTGCCCATCAGGCTTAACTTTCGTCGAGCGGACTATGACGCGATCAAAGATTTCCTCTCACGAGTCGACTGGTCCCTGGCAGCACAAACCCCCACAGTCGACGACCATTGGAACTACATCGCCGCTCACATCCACGACGCAATTAGGGCACACGTCCCCACAGTGCGCGCTTATGCGCCGAAACGCCACAGGCAACTTCAGCCTGCTACGCTTAGGCTGATCAGGGAGAAGAAGGCCCTCTGGGACAGATTCTTACTTTTTGGCGACTCTGATTCGCGAGCACAATACTGTAGAGTGCGAAATTCCTGTATAGCAGCTGTTCGCCAGGACAGAAAAGCGTACCAGCTCTCTCTCGCTAAAAGCTTCGCCGATAACCCCAAGGTCTTCTTTAAGCATATAGCGTCTCTCACTAAATCGCGCGCTGCCGTTGGCAGCCTGCTCAGACCCGTAGGCAATACCACAACGTCGGACAAAGAAGCTGCGGAATTGCTGAAGACTCAGTACGAGTCCGTTTTCGGCACCTTCGCACGCAGTACAATGGAAGGCGCTAATTTTACCCCCATCGCTGCCAGACATCCCGTGCAGTTTACATCAGAGAAAGTCCTGGAGAAATTAAAAAAATTAAGGACAGACAAATCGCCGGGTTTGGATGGGATCCCTCCCATTTTTCTACGTGAATGCGCTACGGTACTGGCCGAGCCGCTTGCCTTACTGTACAGCCGCTCCTACACCAGTGCCGAATACCCGAATGCTTGGAAGCAAGGGGTCATAACGCCGATATACAAGGGTGGTGACAGGACAAACCCCTCTAATTATCGTCCGATAGCACTGCTTCCCACTGCCTCCAAAGTAATGGAGAGTATCATAGACGATTTCTTGCGCTGCCATTTAGAAAGTCTGTCCTTAATAGCCCCGGAACAGCACGGGTTCCGCAGGGCTCACTCGTGCACCACGAATCTTCTCGCAGCCCTTGATTCCTGGACTGCAGAGGCAGACAATCATACTCCAACTTCTCCGGGAGAAAGTAAGAATTGCCTTGGAAATTCCCTATTTTAGCGATTAATCGATTATTAACGATTATCGCATCGATTTCGAACGTTCCTGAATGTTCTTCTTCTACACGTGATCAAAATCCACCTGACCTCTCGGCAAAAGATATGGGGAACCACTAACCTTGGCAGCTGACCTTCCAATTCTAGAAGTCGAAGGTCAGCAGAGACCTATAAATACAGCCAGGGTCCTCAGTCGTTGTACAGTGTTCGTTGGCTGCGATTAATACGTTATTTGTCAGGGTCATTGGCGTTTTGCTTTTTTCCTTCGGTTGGGCTAGAAGTTTTGTGGAGCAGTGAATTGTTATTTTTGGAGTTGCGTCTAGTGAGAAGATTATAACAAATGGCGACGGAGAAAAGTGGAAATGTGATGAATTTTTCTGCTGAACAATTTCAAAAGCTGCTTTTTCAACAGCAAGCTCAAATGGAGGCGCAAATGAAAATGATTGAAAATCTGACAAAATGCTTGAGTTTGCAGACAACTGGAGCAGCGACGCGGGACACGCAGGCGAGTTCTGTTGATCTTCTCACGAACGCCATCACTGAATTCCATTATGATGCGGATTCTGGAAGCACTTTCGAAGCGTGGTTCAAACGCTGGGAAGACATGTTCCAGACGGACTTCATTCGTCAGGACGACTCCTGGAAGGTGCGATTGCTACTCCGCAAGCTCGGAATAAGTGAACATTCAAGGTTCATAGACCACATTTTGCCCAAACAGCCGAAGGATCTGACATTTGACGAAGCAGTGTCGCAGTTGAAAGAAATTTTTGGTGAGTCGGTGTCCTTGTTTAGTATTCGCTATCAATGCCTAAAAATTGTCAAACAGGAAGCAGACGATTTTGGGGCCTTAGCAGACATGATTAACCGTGAGTGTGAACGTTTCAAACTACGCTCTTTAACGGACGATCAGTTTAAGTGTCTCATTTTCGTCAGTGCTCTACAATCGCCCAGTGATGCTGAGATTCGCACGCGGCTTTTAGCTAAGCTGGAGCAGGATCCTGATCTGACACTGAAGGCCCTCGTAAGCGAATGCAAACGGCTTCTCACTCTAAAACACGACACTGCCATGGTCGAACGCAATGGTCTCGCACCAGCAGATACCGTGCAACTCGTGAAAAAGACCAGGACCGCCAACGCAAGCAAATCCTTCAAGAGGCCTACGAAGAAACCGCCCACAGCATGCTGGTCATGCGGCGAATGGCATTTCGCTCGCTTTTGTCCCTTCAAACATCATATTTGTCAAACGTGTCATAAGCGTGGGCATAAAGAGGAATGCTGCAGTCAAGTCCGGTCGAAGAAAGTGCAGAAGTCTTATCGAAAGGTTAATTCTAGAAGGGACGGCGCTGAGTCTCTGTCCATAGTTGCCGCATTCCAAAGCGAGTGTAAACCGAGACGACGATTCATCACTGTGTTAATCAATGGGATCCCAACGAAACTGCAATTTGACACGGCCTCAGACATCACAATCATTTCCAGGCGCACATGGAATCACATAAAGAGGCCGAAGATGGTCGAGTCTCAGAAAGTTGCACATAATGCATCCGGCGGTGTGTTACACTTAGTGGGCGAACTCAATTGCAAGATTGCTTTCCAAGGTGTGGAGAAGTCGGGAACATGCTACATTTCGGACCGGCCGAATTTGAATCTTCTTGGCCTCGACTGGATTGAAAAGTTGAACCTCCTCGATGTTCCCTTGAATCAGATCTGCAACCGAGTTCGAGCAAGTCCAGACCCATCTGCAAAGTCCGTCGAAGACATGACACGTACCCTGAAGCGAAAATTTGCTTCTGTCTTTCAGGATGGCTTGGGCCACTGTACGAAATTCAAGGCAACACTGAACTTGCGACCAGGTGCTAAACCAGTGTTCAAGGCTAAAAGACCGGTACCATATGCAGCCATGTCAACCGTTGAGCAAGAGCTCGATCGACTGGAACGTGCCGGAGTCATCACAGCCGTCAACTACTCATCATGGGCCGCACCTATTGTCGCAGTGAAGAAAGCAAATGGCAAGGTACGCGTCTGCGCTGACTTTTCAACTGGCCTCAACGCCGCGCTGGACGACCACCAGTACCCCTTACCTGTACCGGAGGATATCTTTGCAAAGTTGAATGGTGGTAAGTACTTTGCTAAGCTTGATCTATCCGATGCTTATCTGCAAGTGGATGTTGACGAAGTCTCGAGGGAGTTGTTGACGATCAACACTCATCGTGGGCTATTCCAATACAACCGCTTGCCATTTGGTGTGAAAACGGCGCCAGCCATCTTCCAACAGTTGATGGACACCATGCTAGCGGGTGTTTCTGGAACCGCTGCATATCTGGACGATATCATAGTGATGGGTCGAACACCGGAAGAACTCTTCAACCGCTTGGATGAAGTGCTTGGTTGCATACAGTCGTACGGCTTCCGGATCCGTGAGGATAAATGCACATTTTTCACGCCGCTCATCAAATACCTCGGGTTTATCCTCGAAAAGGATGGACGTCGACCAGACCCGGAAAACATCGAAGCCATTAGAAAAATGCCTCCACCCACAGATCTACAGTCTCTGCGTTCCTTTTGTGGGCTCATCAGCCACTACAGCGCATTTTTGCCTGAGATGCACCGCTTGCGTGCCCCGTTAAACAAGCTACTAGCCAAAGGACAACCTTGGAACTGGACAGCAGAATGTCAGAATGCCTTCGAACGCGTCAAGTCACTGTTGTCTTCAAACTTGCTTTTGACACATTTCGATCCCTCCAAAGAGATCGTCCTAACCACAGATGCATCAAGCCATGGGATTGGTGCAGTAATTGCACACACGTACACCGATGGATCTCAAAAAGCAATCGCCCATGCCGCCAGAACCCTTACGAAGGCCGAGAAGAACTACAGTCAGATTGAGAAAGAAGCATTGGCCATAGTGTACGCGGTTAAGAAATTCCACAAAATGCTATACGGCCGCCGCTTCAAGCTTCTGACAGATCACAAACCCTTGCTCGCTATCTTTGGTTCGAAAAAGGGCATCCCGGCCTACACAGCCAACAGGCTACAACGTTGGGCTCTTACCTTAATGGGGTATGATTTCGAGATCCAATATCAGTCGACAGTTTCCATTGGCCAAGCAGATGCACTGTCACGCCTAATTGATACCCGTCAGCAAGAACATGAAGACACAATCATTGCCTCGGTGGAGATTGAACCAGACGTCAACTTTCTGGTAACTGATGCACTGCACTGTCTACCAGTTACCGCAGAAGCTGTACGGACCGAAACACTTCGGGACCCAATACTCAAGAAGGTTACTCAGTTTCACAAAACAAGTTGGCCACGTTCATGTCCATCTGCCGAGTTGCAACAGTATTTTCAGAGGAGACACTCACTCTCTATTGTAAACGATTGCATACTATTTTCGGAAAGAGTGGTCATCCCCAAGGCACTTCAGGAGCGCCTTATTCGACAGTTCCACGCCGGGCATCCTGGAATCAACCGGATGAAGGCGCTTGCCCGCAGTTATGTATACTGGCCCTTAATGGACAAACAGTTAGAAGAAATAGCCAGACGCTGCCAAAAGTGTGCCGATGTCTTGAAAGCGCCACCGAAAGCAGAACTCTGTTCATGGCCAATAGTTACTAAGCCGTGGTGCCGCATTCATGTCGACTTTGCAGGGCCGATCAACGGGAGAAGTTTCCTCATTATAGTCGACTCATACAGCAAGTGGCCAGAAGTATTTCTCATGGATAACACAACCACCAATGCCACCATATCGAAACTGCGCCAAGCCTTTAGCAGATTCGGCTGTCCTGAGACAATGGTCACTGACAATGGCTCACAGTTTACTTCAGCAGCGTTTAAGGAGTTTTGCAAGCAATGCGCCGTCCAGCACGTTCGCTCGCCGCCGTTTCACCCACAGTCGAATGGCCAGGCAGAAAGATTTGTCGATACATTCAAGCGAGCTCTGCACAAATCAAAAGGGGAGGGACGTATAGAGGAGGTGGTTGACCGGTTCCTTTTCCTCTACCGATCAACACCGAATCCACAAGCGCCAGACGGAGTCTCTCCAGCACAGGCCATGATCAACCGGAAGCTCCGCATGCCTTTCGACGCCATCCGACCGGGCTCGGAGTCCTCTGTTGGTGAAAGAAACCGCAGAATGGAACAGGAGTTTAACCGGCGGCATGGAGCAAAGAAGCGATCATTCACGCTTGGACAGAAGGTGCTAGTACGTGACTACCGGGAAGGCCATGCGAAATGGACGCCAGGGACGGTCAAAAGCAAGCGCGGAAACGTCATGTATGACGTGAAGGTGGGCGCACAGGTCTGGCCGCGGCATGCAAACCAGTTACGGCCCACATTGTGCCAGCCAGAACAAGAAAGGCCTACTGACCTCCCGTTCGATTTACTGGTGGAAACTTTCAACCTGCCGAAGGTAACAGTGGACGACTGCACAAGGTCGAGCAACGAATCCAGAACAAGAACATCGGAACAAAGTTCTCGGGCGCTTCTGCCAAGGAGGTGGACCGACAGGCAGAGAACACCGTCCCGAAGACTGCAAGTTAATCCCAGGCTTTCCTCTTACACCTCGGAACATATCTCAGGAGGGGAGGTGTCCGGGAGAAAGTAAGAATTGCCTTGGAAATTCCCTATTTTAGCGATTAATCGATTATTAACGATTATCGCATCGATTTCGAACGTTCCTGAATGTTCTTCTTCTACACGTGATCAAAATCCACCTGACCTCTCGGCAAAAGATATGGGGAACCACTAACCTTGGCAGCTGACCTTCCAATTCTAGAAGTCGAAGGTCAGTAGAGACCTATAAATACAGCCAAGGTCCGCAGTTGTTGTACAGTGTTCGTTGGCTGCGATTAATACGTTATTTGTCAGGGTCATTGGCGTTCTGCTTTTTTCCTTCGGTTGGGCTAGAAGTTTTGTGGAGCAGTGAATTGTTATTTTTGGAGTTGCG